TGAGAGGCATGGTCACAGATCGGAAGAGACTAAGGTGGCAGGCCAACTAAGTACAGTGTGAGCTTCTGGATTGGATCAAACACAGAAAAAAGAACATTACTGGTGGTGGGGGGGGAGAATATTACTAGAAAAAAAAATGGTGAAAAACTGGTGAAATTCAAATACTGTTTGTAGTTTAGTTAATTATAGAGCAACTAATACAGGTTTTGATACAGGAATTATGGTTATGTAAATTGTTAACATAAGGGAAGCTGGTTGAAAGGTATATGTGAATTCTCTATACTATTTTTTTTAAAGGGAGACAGAGAATCTCTCTTTTTTTTAAGATTTTATTTATTTATTCATTAGAGACACAGAGAGAGAGAGGCAGAGACACAGATAGAAGGAGAAGCAGGCTCCATGCAGGGAGCCTGACAAGGGACTCGATCCCAGGTTTCCAGGATCACACCCTGGGCTGACGGCGGCGCCAAAACGCTGAGCCACCTGGGCTGCCCGAATTCTCTATACTATTTTGACAACTTTTCTCTAAGTCAAAAACTCATTCAAAAGGAAGTTTGTAAAAATGTAATTCTTAATAACTATAAAAGAATCATCAATTGGACTTTACAAACAGCCCTGGAGGAAGGAAACCACCTTATGCAAAAATACACAGACAGACACACTTATGCAAGTCCCAGCTCAAAAACCACACTCCTGCCTCGTGGCATTCTATGAGAGGCATTTCCAAGCAGAACATGCCATCCTTGGTTTCCTGGCTGACCTTGCCATCCCTGTGGGGGTCACGTGTTGGTTCAGCTGTCCCCAAGGGTATGCCCACTGAGAGATCCTGCATGGCGGGCTAAAGAAGAAACCATCTGATGACAGTTCCTCTACTTGGATCATGCCAGCTGGGACGCAGAGAACCTGGTCAGGGTCCCTGAGCTTGACCCTATGGTTGAGCTGGGGCCACTTCTCCCACAGCAGTGGCCAAGTCAGTGTGGATGTGGACCTATATCTTATTCTGTAGGTCCTGGAACTTTCCCAGGAGCTAAGGGGCACAGCCTCTAGCAAGTCTCATCACCCATTATTCTGGCTGCATCCTGGACCTTAGCACAGCTCCCACAATGCTCACATTGTACAGCCAGAGGTGATGAGATTTTGCCCTTACCTCTCCTTACCCACAGGCCAATGATCCCCATTTGCTGGTTCTGAGGGTGTGGCATGGCCTCACCTCACCGAGTCCTCCCAACAATTCAGAGAAGCTGTGTACTCTTATGATCCTCACTTTTTAAAAAATATTTTATTTATTTATTCATAAGAGACACAGAGAGAGAGAGAGAGAGAAAGAGAGAGAGAGCGAGGCAGAGACATAGGGAGAGGGAGAAGCAGGCTCCATGCAGGGAGCCCGACATAGGACTTGATCCTGGGACTCCAGGATCACACCCCAGGCTGAAGGCGGCGCTAAACCTCTGAGCCCTCCGGGCTGCCCTGATCCTCACTTTTAAAAAATTATAAAAAAGAAACCACATAACACAAAGTTAACCATCTTAATGGTCTTTAAGTATACAGTTCAGTAGAGTTAAATATATTCATATTGTTATGCAATCCCCAGAATTCTTTTCATCTTGCCAAACTAGACGCTATACCCATTAAACAACAACTCCCCATTTCTCCCTGCCCCAGCCCCTAGTAACTACTTCTTTCTGTTTTTCTGAGTTTGACTATTCTTCATATCTGTGAAATCACAGTTTTTGTCTTTTTTCTGACTGGCTTATTTCACTTAGCATAAAGTCCTTAAAATTCACCTGTATTGTAGCATATGTCAGAATTTCCTTCCTTTTTAAGGCTGAATAATATTCCATGGTATCTATATGCCGCATTTTCTTCATCCATGTATCCATTGATGGACATTAGGGATGCTTTTACCTTTTGGCTATTATGAATAATGTTGCTATGGACATAAGCATACAAATACTTCTTTGAGACCCTGCTTTCTTTTTTTTTTTAATTTTATTTATTTATTTACGATAGTCATACAGAGAGAGAGAGAGAGGCAGAGACACAGGCAGAGGGAGAAGCAGGCTCCATGCACCGGGAACCCGACGTGGGATTCGATCCCGGGTCTCCAGGATCGCGCCCTGGGCCAAAGGCAGGCGCCAAACCACTGCGCCACCCAGGGATCCCGAGACCCTGCTTTCAATTCTTGTATATATAGGCCCAGAAGTGATAATGCTGGATTCAATGGTAATTCTAATTTTAATTTTTTAAAGAACTGCTACACTATTTTTCATAGTGGCTACACCTTTTTACATTCCTACCAACAGTACATGGGGATTCCAATTTCTCCACATCCTTGCCAACACATGTTATTTTCTGTATTTTTTTATAGTAGCCATCTTAATGGATGTTAGGTGGTATCTCATTGTGGTTTTGATTTCCTTAATAATTAGTAATATATTTTTTTAATAATTAGTAATATTGAGCATATTTTCATATACTTGTGTCCACTCTTATAGTTAAGGAAACTGAGGCTTTGAGCAGTGATGTAACCTGCTGATGTGAGCCAAGTGGCTAGGGGTGCAGTCAGAATTGGCCCTCCAGTCTAACTCCAGGACTTCTTGTGCCACCATCTCTCTGGAGAGAGCCATCTCCCCCTACTCACCCTGGTGCTTCTCCCCTCCTCCCTCCCAAACACCAGCACTCATTCCTTTCTTATTTTACTCCACAACCCAAAAAAGAAGCAAGGAAGGGAAAGGCTGCTGAGAAAGTAAACCCTTTTGCATGAATGTGAGCGTGCGATGTGTGAATCCCCAGAGATGCCCACAGGACCCTAAGCAGAGCCCAACAGAGGGAGCTATGGCCTTGGAGGCCAACAGCTACCCATTTTTCACACCCTGAGGTGAAGGAAAGAAGGGAAGGGCAAAGCAAGTAAGGGCAAAGAGGTCAAACCAGTTGTCAGAGGGTGCTGCAGCTACTAGGGCCAGCTCCGCTCAGATTCTGATGATACTTGGAGGAACTGAGTTGAAAGGAGCTGATCCTCAGTCTCAGTTGCCCCAATACCAGGCTGTGGGCAGGAGATGGACACATACTTGGAGCCTCTGCTAGGGAACAATGCCAGAGAATCATAGTCAACTCAGCGCCCTAGATAGGCATGGTGACAATGCAGGGGGGATCCAGAAGTGGTCCACAGGATAAGCCCACTTTTCCCAGGTTCTATAGACTCTATAGCCACCACTCCCAGTTGGCCACCAGGCTCTTGCCAAGGAAACTCCTGCAGATTCCTTGCTGGTCCTCTTGCTTTTCATAGCAGGTAGAGTAAGCTTCTGCCAAATCTGGCCATGCTATCCCTTGCTTAGAATCTTATTACCTGGGATCCCTGGGTGGCTCAGCGGTTTAGCACCTGCCTTCAGCCTGGAGCGTGATCCTGAAGTCCCAGGATTGAGTCCCACGTCAGGTTCCCTGTGTGGAGCCTGCTTCTCCCTCTGCCTGTGTCTCTGCTTCTTTATATATATATATATATATATATATATATATATATATATATATATATAATGAATAAATAAATAAAATCTTTTTTTAAAAAAAGAATCTTATTACCTCACTTTCCTCAGAATAAAGTCAATTCCTCAGCTACAACGCCCACTGCGAAATGATATCTGTTGGCATTTCTAGCCTCATATCGAATTCCCATAGTTCCAGGTGGCTGGTAGTCAGGTGCAATTCTCTGACCACCAGCAACCTGGATCTTTGGGAATTCCACCCGCAGAATTTGCCATGATCTTTGCTTAGTCAAGGTCTACTCATATTTCCAGACTCAGATCAAATTTTAACACCTCTTCTAGGAGAATTTCCTCACTCTGTTATCCCTACAGAGAGGGTAATATATTGCCCCAGGTCATAGAGCAAGTCATCCAGAATTTGAATTGAGGCTCCAGAACCCTATTACTAACCAGGGTTGATGTTAGCCCTCTCTGTAGTATGGCTAGTATGCCCCATGGGCATCTGAGCTTTGAAAGTGAGCCCCAAACCCCAGATATCTACAGTCTAGTGTCCAGCATAAGGCCAGTCGTGATGTCTGATGATTGCCACATTGTGCTGAGGGAAGAGAATTAATAGGGGTCACATTCAGTTTTTTGGAGGGGAGAAACAGAGTTGGAGGAAGGGCCTGGGAAATCCTACTTGCCTGATCAACAGAAGAAAACTAGTCTGGGTATACCCTCCTCAAAAGGATCCAATGTCTCATGGCCCTTACCAGATGCAAAGTAAGAAGTATAGGGGACAAAGTTATGTGGGTAGCCTGACTCCTGAAACTCAGACAACTTGCCACCGAACCACTTAGGAACCTGAAGGACTAATGGCATAAGCTGGAACCCTGTCCACCACTGGATCCTATCCTCAAAAGGGTCTGTGTGAGTCGGTCTCTTCATCAGTACATTGGGGCTAGGGTTATGGCTCCTATGGTTCCCTGCATCCGGTCAGCATCAGGAGTCCCTCTGCTCCTTTTCAGAGAAATTGGAGCCTCAAGATAGGACCCCAAGCCTCACCAAAAGGTGTGTGGCAGAGCAGTGGAATCCCTGATGCTTCCAGAAGTCTGTGGCCAGGGAACAGGCCAAACCTGCCCATGGCCCACCTGACAGCAAGGCTCTTCTCTGTGTCCACACTTGGGCTCAGCAGAAATCCCCACATTCCTCCTCCTGCCAGTAGCAAGAACTTGACTCAGACTCTATATCTGAGCATACTGCAACGGGCGTCTTGGGAAACAATTTCATCTGTTATGAAACTCTAAAGGGAAAGACAGTTGGTGACAACACTCCCTGCTCCATCCCCTCCGTACTATACAGAACCCACCACGGATAAGCCTCCCGTGAGTCCTGCTCTCTTGGGGGGCACACACGTGTTGGAAGCGTAACACAGTTGGCAGCCAGTCAGGTTTGACGGGGTGCGGGGAACTCCCACCCAGGGGCCGCCGCCAGGGAGTCTCAAGGGGTCTGAAGTAGGTGGAGGGCCATTTGCACACCCACCTCGGTCACGATGGTGGACAGGTAGATGTCCTGGCTGAACTCCCAGCCATCCAGGCAGCTCTCCTGCTCCAGCTGCTCCAGGTCCACATCGCGCCCCGGCTCCAGCCCGAGCGCCGAGAAGTTGGCGATCGCCGCGAGCCGGTAGCGCCGGCAGCTGTGCGGCACCTCGCGGCCGTCCTGCAGCCGCAGCGGGATACTGTGGTTGCGCCACGCGCGGCTCAGGTTCGCGGCGTCGGGCACCCGGCAGCGGTGCTCGGGGGTGGCGGCCAGGAACACGACTGACATTCCGTTGAAGCCGTTGGGGATGATGCTGGCGCTGAGCAGGAAGAAGATGAGGCGCTGGAAGGGCCCCCACTCGCCCAGGAAGGTGGTCACCTCGTCGTAGTCCCGCATGCTTCCCACCGCTGTTGCGCGGCTGCAGCAAGCGGCGCTAAGAACTGCTCCCGGCAGAGCCGCGCGCTCAAGGGCGTTCCCCGAGGGTATCAGATGCGCCCGGAGGCCAAGCAGGCTGCGGGAAACTGGGGCGCACGGCCGGGTAAGCGTTCCCCGGAAACAGGCTGCGGGCCTCGGAACGCTCCCGGGAGCCAGCGGGTCGCGGAGCTGGAAGCCACCGGAGGCACCCGGGACCACACCCCCATCCCGGCTGGGGCGGGCGGAGGAGGGCGGCGGCGCGGCCCGGGTGGGGCTCCCCGCCGGCCCCGCCTCGAGCTCCGCCCCCCCTCCCCGTGCCCCCGCGACCCCGCCGCCGCGCCCGCTCCCGCTCCGGGTGCCTCCCGGCCGCGGGAGGGGAAGCTCGGTGCCCGCGCACGCCGCGACCCCCGATGCTGAGCTCCCAGAGCGGGGGAGAGCGTCGCCCCAGGCCTCGCCCGGGCAGGCGTCTCTCCCGGGCCTTCCAATCCGGAGTCTGACTGCGTTCAGGTGGCCTCGGGCGGAGCGCGGACTGCGAGCCCGTGGAGCGCGTGCTCGGGGGCAGCCACCGTGGACGCAAGGGTGGCTGAAGTGCGACCTCTGCGCGGGCGCGCACTCCGCGCGGTGGCTGGCACCAGGCGACCGGGCGCTCATGCCCCACCCGTCCGAGGAGGGCTGCACTGACTCAGGCACCAACCCGCGCCGCTCGGGAAAGCGGAAAGCGTCTTCCGGGCAGCCCGGAGCCTCCCCTTTAGTAAAAGGGGAACATGCCCGGAGCCAGAAGGGATGAGCAAGGTCACACTGCGGTGTCTCAGACACTCAGAGAGAGACTTTGAGACAGACGAAGGGGACGTAGGAGGCAGGGGCTACCGGGTGGTCCCACGATCCCGCTGGGGCCCCTGGGGAGGACTTCCACACAGAGCCTGACCCTTCGTGACAGCACAGTAATGGCGCTCCTGTCACCACTTCTGGGTTCTGACCCGAATCCCTTCATTCTCCCCATGCCCCGGGGTTCTTCACCGCAGCTGCCAGAGCCCCCTTCATTCTCCCCATGCCCCGGGGTTCTTCGCCCGCAGCTGCCAGAGCCGTCTTGGATCGGAAGGCCTCTGGGTTGCAAAAGGCACCGCCCCCACTCGGGGAACAGAGGGAGGGAGGAGGAGAAGGTCCAATTTGGCCAGATCTGGCAGGGAAACCAGAGCAGGGACCACAGACTGCTCAGTGCCCAGGCCTCAGGCCCTCCGCTGTTGTGTGAGCTAGCGGGGTGCTGCAGCCTGAGTCCTGGAGTTCAGGAGGCCATCAGATAACAGGCAGAAGACCTCAGGTGTTTGGAGATCGCACACAAGTGTGTGGACTTCTCCAGGCCCAGGTTAAGAGGCTGAGGGACATTTCTGGTCAGTCTTCTAGCTTGCAGTCTGACCCTTCCTTAGCTGGCTTCTCACTCCCTTGGATCTGTTTCCTTTTCTGTGATAAGACTCTATGTCCTCATGTGCCAGGACAGGTCTGATTTATACCTGTTAGTCCTGTGAAATTACTATTAGCACACCCCTTTACTTTCAAAAGTATTCTTGAGGCATCTAGGTGCCTTGATTTTGGCTCAGGTTATGATCTCACGGTGGTGGGATCCTTATGACACACACACAGGCTTCATGCTTAGTGGGGAGTCTGCTTTGGGATTCTGTCTCCTCCCCCTCTCTCCCTCCCACCCCGCTCAAATAAATCTTTAAAAAAATATATCCTTTGAACAATATTTTATGTGGTCATTGTCTTACTTAGCTTGACTTTCCATCCTTCCCTTTTCCCCCAATAAAAAAGCAAAGATAAAGATTTATTGGCGATGGTTCATTTTAAGTAGTGATCCCAGGAAAAGGAGTGAGAGGCTAGGAACAGTGAACAGGGGAGAAGGTAAGACCAGCAAACACTGTGTCACTGAGTAGGTCATTAGTACCAGGGTCAGTGATTATGCTGTGCTGAAATATATTGCATCCTGAAGCCAAAGGAAAAAATTAATAATATCGATCCTACCTTTTCTTAAAATTTTGATATTATTGATCATGGATTTTTATATAGATTTTGGTTTTTAAAAATACTATACTAAAATATTATTTATTTTGATTATTGAATTTCTTGGTGCCTCCTTAAATTTTCCATCTGACACAAACTTTCACTACTTTCCTTTGCCTCAGCCTTTGGGTCACCTCATTCCTATGGGTGACTGGGATCCTATTAGGCCAATCTCGCTGGGACCTTGTGTAAAGAGCCATACAATGGGGAAGTATTTATTTCCTAATTGGTCACCTGCCCTGCACTTCCAGATTGTAGTTGAACAGGCATTGCTCAAGTAAATTGTTTGCCATTTCCCATCAGTATATGTAAATCTATACTTTGAGTCATTTTGTCCTCCATACAAAATAAAGCCCAAGTGCACTGCTTAACGTGGACCCACTGAGAGGATTTCCCTTCACCACTGTCTAAGGCCTCTCCTGAGTGGGGCTGTGTTGCAGTAATCATCCATATTTTGGTCTAGTATCAAGCTAGCCCATCTGTGAGGGCTGATCCCCCCCCCCTACTATTTGGTTGTAGAGAACCATCCCCATCAGACCATAGGTTTTCTTTTTTTTTATATATATATTTTATTTATTTATTCATGAGAGACACACAGAGAGAGAGGCAGAGACACAGGCAGAGGGAGAAGCAGACTCCATGCAGGGACCCCGATGTGGGCCTTGATCCTGAGACTCCAGGATCATGCCCTGGGCTGAAGGCAGGGGTCAAACCATTGAGCCACACAGGGATCCCCAAGACCATAGTTTTGAGTTGAGAGGAAAGGGCTGGTATAGCTGAGGGAGGTGTCACTGAACTGAGCCCCTTGCTCATAAACTGACATGAGCTCTGCGGACCTGCTCAGGCCTGCCATGACTCTACCATTTCTATTATGTGATGGATTGCTAATGTGCCTGCTTAATCTTACAACTTGACAATACTCAGCTAATACTGGACATTTCTGGTTGCATAGACCCTTTATCCTTGTGCAGGGGCCATGCTTATCTTCTCCGTATCATTATATTTTTAGTATATGTGCTGCCAAAGCGAGCACTGGTTGCATAGACTCCTAGACACTTAGTTTTTACTGTGGCTAAATAGTTGCCGTTTCAAAAGACAAATAGCTCTCTGCTACAGAAGACATGGCTTACTCTGGAACTCTAGAGATCTGTACTGAAATTCTTTTATTACAGCTTATCAGAGGCTACCCAGCATTCTTATCACCATGAACACTTCTAGCACTATTGATCTTGCTGGGCCAAATGGCAGAGAACCTTGTACTATAGTTGGGCACACTGTAGAGCTCACTCTTGCTCTGGGTTTTGCTCAAAACTGGGAGCCTTCCAAGGCAGGGAATAAATGGGTCAGAGTAGTATTCTCACCAAGCATTATGTCTTTATTAGTCGTGAAAGTACAGGGTACAACTTTACAGGGGATCACGTGGCATACTCCATACTACTGGTTCTCTAATAACTTTACCAACTTGCTTCAAAATAATATGGATGGAGCAAGTGAGGATATAGATGAAATAACATTGGCCATGATGTTGGGTCTAAGCATTCATTTTCTAGTTTGTCTGTTTTTATACGCATTTAACTTATTCCAGAACAAAAAGGTAAAAGAAAATGTCACCAGTATGGAAGGCCCTGAATCTTCATACTTTTTATCCCCCACTTTTTGGCATGTGTGGGTCTTACTAGGATATTTAGAGTACATTTTTGTTCTTGCTCATTGGTCATATTAGCATTATGTCATCAATACATAATGGCTATCATGTTTTAGGGAATATCAAGGTAGTGAAAGTCACTAGGTACTATATTGTAACAAAATAGGAGAATTGACATAGCTCAGAGGCAAGAAAGTGAGTATATACTGTTATTCATCCCACAGAAAACCAAATAGCTTTTGATTCTCCTTACTGAAGGATTTTGAAAAGAAAATCCATGCTGTTGGTGCTAATCTTGCAATTCCTCCCAGGATGGCATTTATTTTTGATTTAATAAATTGGTCAGACATATGGGCATGTTAGAGGCATCTATTTGTCCCTACCTACATAATGGCTCTAGGGAGTAAATATTAGGGTCTTGCGACCTTCTAAGACTACTATCCCAGTTATACACTTAGGGACCAGTTATGCACTTAAGAACAGTATGGATCTTTACAACCATTAGACCTGTTTGAATGAGAACTCCATTTACCACCTGGCTTTCATGAGCCTCCAGTCTTACTGGAGGGACCATGATGGTGTTTCCTATCTCCCGGGAGCAAGGCTAGCTCATACTCTGAATCCAACAGCCCTTGAGAGGTCTAGGACTTTCCTTTTCCCCAGGCCAGAGTTGCTCTGGTAAAAGATCACTAGTATAGACTGAACTGTCTATCTCTAAATTCATATGTGGAAACCTTAACTTTCAAACATATTTGGAGATGAGGCCTTTGGGAACTAATTATGTTTACAGGAGATCATGAGGGTGGGGCTCTTACCATAGAATTAGAAGGCACACCAGGGAGTTCATAAGAAGGTGGCCATCTACATGCCAGGAAGAAGACTCTCATGAGGAACTGAATCTGCCAGCACCTTGATCTTGGACTTTCCAGCCTCCAGAATCATGAGAAATAAATTTCTGTGGTTTAAGCCTACCAGCCTGTGCTATTTTGTTATGGCAGCCTGAGCAGACTAAGATAGCCATAGATCCCTTGTGGGAAGAGATTAGAAAAATAATGAACATATATACTTCTGGCAGTATAGGCAGGTTTTTCCTTAAGAAGACTTAGCCTCCTCTTCAATCAATAGGGTCTGAGCCTATGAAGTGGTCTAGATCTGGGGAAATTATGAAAAATACTATTTCCCATTGTGGCAGCAGCCATCAGCCCTCTGCTTACCAGCTCTTACTTTTGGAGGTGAGTCTGTTACACAAGTCATGTAACACTTGATCATCTATCCTTTCACTTAACTCCTAGGAGCACCATGGTCAATTAGTCATCACCACCTGGCTGTAGGTCAAAGCATGCTGGTTGCTACTTTGGTCTTGAAATGACCTCTACCCTGCCTCTGTTGGTTGTGTCACCATCCTACCTCTGCTATTCTAGAAACTTATCCTCACTGACACTAGGAATCCTCACCTGTGCATTTTATATTGTCTTAGAGAAGGGAGCTATCTGGTGATAGCTTCTCTGGTCTTGCATCATAAATATAATCTAGCACTCTCACTCCCCCAAGCCTTCTGACTCCTTTCATACTCTTCTGGCATCTCCATCTTATTTCAATAGACCATAAGTGTGTCAGAATTTCAAAGAGCCATCTCAGAAGCAAATGAAGATGTTTTTCTGTACCCTTGCTTGGATGTTGAGCCCAGTATAATGACAGAGCGCTCCTAGGTTAATAAAGTTCCACATGTTACCCCCGTTTCCACCAAAACATAGGTCATGTTATTTTTTCAACATGTATGCCATTTCTTTGTGGATCAGGGACTGTATTTCCTCCCCTAAGCTGTGCTGAGACTTCACCCTAGTTGTTGGTCTGGAGGCAGTGGTGTGGGGTGGGTAGGGGAGGATCTTGAGGAAGGCAAGCATCATCTTTAGATCCACTTATCTCTGGAGGAGTCTTGGTAGGGTTTCCAGACAAGGAGAGGCTGCTCTCCTATAGTGACGAGAGGAGAGCTGCTGCTGAGCTTGAAGGTTTAAAGGAATCCAGGAATTCAAAATTCTCACATTGGTTTATCCAGATGTCTCTGCTCCATGCTCCAGGGCTCTATGCATTTCCTATCAGGGCCATGACTTTGCCATAGAACACCCAACAAAGCTGTGCATGCAGGATCACCTGGATGATTTAGTTAAGCAACCAACTCTTGATTTCTGCTCAGGTCATGATCTCAGAGTCATGAGATCCAGTTAGCCCCACACTAGGCTCCTCGCCAGGTGTGGAGGCTGCTTAAGATTCTCCCTCTTCCTTTCTCATACTCTTTCTCCTAAAAAGAAAGAAAGAAAGAAAGAAAGAAAGAAAGAAAGAAAGAAAGAAAGAAAGAAAGAAAGAAAGAAAGAAAGAAAGAGAGAGAGAGAAAGAAAGAAAGAAAGAAAAAAAGAAAGAAAGAAATAAAGAGGCTGTGCATGCAGTTTTTTTCTTTTTATGTAGCCGTCCTACTCTTGCAACTAAATCAGTTAAATCCTGGGCCTGACTTCCATCACAACCTTCCCTGTGGCTGCAGGAAATGAGGGTTTCTGTAAGAGCTGCCATGGTGGTTTACTGGCTTACACTGAGTGCCTTGAATTTTTAGATGCTGACCCAGGCCTATAATTTTCTTTCTTTTTTTTTTATAAAAAAGATTTTATTAATTTATTCATTTGAGAGAGAGAGTGTGTGTGTGCACATGCATATGAGAGACAGAAAGAGAGAGAGGGAGAGAGAGTATGCAAGCAGGAGAAGGGGCAAAGAGAGAGGGAGAGAGAGAATCCCAAGCAGACTCTGCACTGCACGCATAGCCCACGTGGGCTTGATCCCATGATCCTGAGTTCATGACTTGAGCTGAAACCAACAGTCAGTTGCTTAACTGACTGAGCTACCCAGGCCCTGCTGGGCCTATCATTTTCTTTTTTCAAGGCTTCTAAAGCACGTAGCAAAAGCCATCCAGCTCCATGTTCCTTATAATCACCATTCTTCTCATACATTCTATGTGCCATAATCGGGGATTCTCAACTTTGGTACTATTGAAACTTTAGGCCAGATTATTGTTTGTTGTGAGGGCTGTCCTATGCATTCCAGGATGTTTATCTGAATCTCTGACCTCTACCTACAGGATGCCAGTGAAGTGTTACTTCAGTTGTGATTAAAAAAAAAAAAATCCCTGGACATTGGTAAATGTCCACTGGTGGGTATATCAGCCCTGGTTAAAAAACACTGACACCAGCCAATGTTTCACTCTCCACTACTCTTTCATTGTCATCTCCTGTGGATGGGAGTTTTGCCACTCTGTGCCGGGGATTATCACCAGTCTACTTACTAACAGTAATGGGCCATTCAGCCTTGTCCAAAAGGGGAACTTTCCAATTCTAGAATCCCTTCCTTGCAAGTCTGTCTTCCATCTGGGAATGGACCTAAGGGAACAGGAAGAAGAGACTGCAGAGAGTGAAAGAGAGGAGAAAAGCTACTAGAAGTGTGAAGAAGAGAGTTGTTTACAGTTTTGGAAAACTGTAGGAAGGTGTCTAAGAAATGTCTGTGTCAGGTTCACAAGTAGGCAACATGTATCCATAGGTTTCTATCCCTCATTGGCTCAGGGGTCCCCCTTTGGGTGTTCCCTCACACTTCCAAATTGCACATGTGTGAATGTTGAGCAGGTTTCTGTATGTGTTTCCATGCCTCAGGGGCAGAGAAGTCCAGGAGTAGCAAGTGGGAAGTGACAGTGCCCTGGGATTGGACCACCTTGATAACGGGTTGCCGTTATCACTGGCTGCAGGAAGCAGTAATTCTGGAGGGGGAAGGTCTGAAGCACCAAGGAGGAGGTCCCATATTCAGTCTTCCCAGTCCTATATGCCTGGGGAGGATGCGGCCTGTGCCTCCCTTTGCTGGATGCTCCTCAGGACCATGAGGAAGGCAGGCCCCTGGCAGTCTCACTGGCAAAGTGAACTCCTGCTTCTGTTCTTTCCAGCCAAGAAGGTCTGCAATCAACACTTGTGGGTCTGTGGGCAACCTCCTGGCACTGAAACAATCCAATCCAGCTCAGACACTTGCCCATGTGAGCATTAAACCAGGAGTGGAAAAAAGCGGAGAGGGATGAGGTTGGAGAGGCTGACCGCAGAGGCTATACCATGCTTGATCTTAAACAGTCTTAATTGTTTCTTGGAGTCAGTTTTCATTCTGAGGCCAATGAGAGTCTGAGCAAAACCTAATGAGATTTGCATTTTAGAAAGTTCCCTCTGGTGGCCAAATTGAGAATGCAAGGAAGGGAGCTAGGGTAGAAGCAGAGACATCAGGGAGACTGTTGTAGGTGGCTGAGGGTGATGGATGGTGGTAGCCAAGAAATAAGTGAATTCAGGAGCTGTTAAAGAGGTGGTGGGACAGAT